TATTACCGCAGTGTTCGCATTTTAAGCACTCAACTACCTTTCACAATTGGATAGAGGCCGGGTCTTCCCGTATAGTAGTGCAAAGTGAGTGTTCCATCTGGGTTGTCTTCACATCGAAAAGATGGTCCTCTTAGGTTCGCCTTGTACACAACATGATCAATGAAATAGTGAAGCGAGTCCAAATTGTCCAGGAACCCCTGAATACAAAATTTCAGAAAACAAGATGATTATTCTTTTCGGTTTTAAACAAGATGAAATCTTTCTGCCGGCAACATTTTATGGTATTTTTCTACAGAAGGCAGTTACATAAAAAGAGATTCAAACCAGTTGTGACCCGTGACAGCTACAACAGAATTAGGATTACATTGAATTACCTTCAGGTTAGGGCTCATGGAGCGAATCAGATCGTCCCAGCCTATTTCCATAGTGTACTCTATGAGAAATCCACCATACATTTCCCAAACTTGTTCCCGAGACATCTCTGAAGGATATAAGAGTAGAACTTCCAATTGTAAATTTCCCGTGTCTAGAGCCCTACTTACTCGAAATCACACTGACAGCATCCACCAGAATGTAGGTATCAGAATCGGAGTAGTAGTGGTTGACTATGTTTTCCTTTCCGTTTTCAAATCCCGCTCTCTGCCTGAAGGTTAAAGTTCGTCATCACTCCTATGATCATCACAAGAATTTGTTCCTTCAGAATGCTGCGAAATAGGGAATGTTCGATTTAGATATGTGTACATATTTATACGACATATTCAGATATAATAACTTAACATTCACAAAAAAAGTTAATAAAGACATCATATGTCTAAACTGTCTGTGCTTCGGAAGTCAAGGGCCGGTCATTCAGTCAGTTCCAGTTCAGTATCAATGAAAACATCTACCTAGTCATTAAATCTCTACGTTTCTTCTTCATATTCATTAACATATGCTGTATTACGAGGCTGTTTACGGCTGATAGGAATAGAAACTAATATTCATAACTGGACTACCAGAGATAGGCAACGAAACATATTAAGGTTGTAATATACCAGAAGAGTTTTCGGGATAATAATTTCTGCAAAATGACTGACATTAGCTTTGCATTCAAATGCAAAAAGAATATTTTGAAACATTCCATTCAACGCCGAGCGGAATATTTCAAGCAGATTATTATCTAGAAGCTTTGACTTGGATAGTAACTAAATTAACGGATGGATAGAAAGGTACGACATATAAGGTTTTTTGAAGATGTGTTGAAGGGCTGATAACAACGTATGTGTTGACCGAGCAAATATAAATACAAGTCCCATACTTTTCAATCAGGTCTATTAGAAGTAAGTTACAATTCTTGAATTCGACTTTCTCAATTACTGGTCCAGATGACTGCATGTTTCTAAACTGATTAACTTAGGATATAATAGAAAATGACAGTAGAAGATTGAAGCACTACTATACAAACGCTTTTAGAAGCCAGATTGTTGAGATATTTATTCTTCTACTTGACTCACTCTCCTGTTCTTACAATTTGTGATATAGTGCTGCTGCGCAGTCACTTAATACGAAAACATGCCTCATATAAGGCTGCGAATGAGATTTTTCACAGAAAAAAGTAAACTCACAGTACTTTCGCCCAGAATTCCTCCCCATATTTTCTCAGCATAAGTTGTCGAATACTTTCATGGATAAATCCAAACTGTAAGCCACAAATTCTAATTTCAAAATTTTCAGATACACAGACAACTCACCATGATGATGTTAACAACTTATGCGTTCGCAAATAAGTATCTACGAGAGCGTCCATATGAATTTTTAACGCACACGCAATCACCTGCTCGTAGTCAAGCAAACAAGATTGCAACACCGATAACATTAGAGGACGTATAGGGCTACGAATTCGTTTCTTGAGAAATCTGGAATGTTGCTCTTCAAAGTCTTTTTCTGTTTACCCTTTTAGAAAACGAGTAAAGATTATGGTTGCAATGATGATGGCGTTTTATGACTAATTTACTGAATAATTTCTGACTTCATTGTCTTTACGGTATCGGCTGCAGTTGCGGCTTTGACATGAATTCATTTTGGAAATACCTGGCCTCCTTTAACAAAATATTACAAAAATACGAGCGGAAAAGCCCACTATGTTGCTACTCCGCTTTTTCGCTAGGTTTTGGGATTTATTTCTGTTCCTTGCTCGTCTGCTATCTCTGGACAAATCCAAATGAGCTGTTGGAGCAGTATATCAACATGGAGAGAAATTTTGGTCAGAATAGCCAAGTTAGGAATTTTACTTTAAGAAGTCATTGCGACTACATACATTTATCTGAAAACACCAATGTGTGCTTTGGAAAACCACCTAATAATAAGGCATTTTATGTATTTTCAAGTAGTGTCTGTGTAAAAGAAGTTTCCCAAGTGTAATGGGAAAATTTTGACCTCTTGCTACCTTTTGGCGAACTTTCGGAATCCAAGCAGGATCACTCGAAATATATCTTGGCAACACAGTCATGCGGCAACCTCTTCGGGTCATATGGTGATTGATCTCCTCTGCCTTCGTTACTGTGATTTCTTGGGAAACCTCTAGATATAAGTTCCACAGCGTGCCGAATTTGAAGATAGGGATCCATAAAATTTATGAATCTTATGGGACCACGCATATCGCATATTAAAAAGAATTGCGACATTCATATCAAACAACGATAGAATGTTTTGACAAGTAAATTTGAACGGAACGCCTACTTCCGTGAGCTAGCGTAATATAGCGGATATTTATAAAATCTTGTTGGAAATGTATCCTGCCAGACTTGCGATTGCGAGCTAAATTAGTAATATCGGTTTGAAATATAGTAGTGACGACTTCAAAATCGAGAATACACAGTGTTATTGTTAAAACTGCACTGTAAAATCCTATTTTCTTGAACAAATGCTTGCAGGTAAGTCCACAGATCGGGTGAGAAGGTTAGAAAAATGAACGATGAACTCAAAATGCTGCTGGAGACTGATTTTACAACTGCTTAGGTCATTGTATGTTGCGGTACAAATGTGCTTAGATTTGACAAGTGGTAAAGAGATCTAAAATATCTTGGTCTTCAAAAACGGCTTCCTCTAAA